AACAACAAACAACACATACCGCGAACTAACAACACACAACACATACGACTCATAAAACAACTAATAGAAAAAAACATAAAACATTCCTAACTAATTACAATAATCAAACTAATTTCATTTGGTGACTTTTCTCGCATCCTTGTCAGTCTTGACACGAACCCATCCACGCAACCGATCAAGTCTCTCGACACTTAGAATTTTTTTCCCCTTCACCAATGTCTCCTTCAAACCACTGATTCAGCTCCATCTTAAGTTGATTGAAACTTTATATGTTTCAAAACAAAATGTCCATCAGACGCTTCTCTCTCGAATAGACGATTTTTCCCACCGGCGACGATACATGTTATCATTAGAACAAAAATATGAGATGAGCTGTGGAACTAAATGAACAAAAATATGAGATGAGTTGTGGAACTAAATGATTAAAACACCTCAATTTATAGATACTGCATGACGAGACTGCACGATGAATTGGTGACTCCCCTATATGTATAACACCAAGGCGCCAATTGGATTGGAGACTGCATGAGGTGTCTCCAATTCAATTGGTGACTCCATTTATGCCCTAACAAGAGATCGTCAATTGAAATGACCCACATGCAATCAGAAACCCTGACTGAGGTTAGTTTGAGAAATATTTTAAAATGTGGGATATTTAGGTTAAAAAAAAATTAATTATGACTATATTGAAATAATATTAACTAAAATTTAATATTTAATATATTTTATTATGATTTTTTTCTAATAAAGTAATAAAATTTATTAATATTGTTATGATTTAAAATTTAATATTATTGAGTACCACATAAAATAATAATAACTTAAATTTATTATTATAATGAATTTTTGCTTTCATAAATATTTAATTCTTTTTTTATAAAACATTATTTAACAATTATCAAGAATATTTGAATCAAAAATATAATTTTTTTATATAAATATTAATTTTATTAACAAAAATAATTGAATAAATAGTAAATTTCTTCCCGTTAATTTTTTCTTTTTTGAACAATTATTTCATTACTCCCTATTCATATAATTTTATGCATTTTTTTTTAAAATGTAATAAAAATGAAATGATAGAAAGATAAAATTATTTAACCAAAAAAATATATTATTTTTAAAACAGATAATATATCAGGACTTATAATTTTTTTTATATATAAAAATATTTTAATCAACAATTTTTTTCATATATAAATATTTTTTTGTTTCTGTATTTGATTCAACAATAAAAATCTAAACTTGACAAATAAAAATCATATATTAAGTCATTAAATTATTTGAATCAATAATATATTGTTATCATGTATATTAAATATATTATTTTATTTTTGCCATTATTTATAAAAATATTTGAATCAAGTAAATTTGTTATCGTTTATTAAAATAACACCAATTAAATATTTTAATTAACTATAATTTTCCCAATTTCAATATTTTAATTCATAGTTTAATTTTGCTCCTTTCATATAACTTTTACAAAAAAATAAAATAGAAAAATTATTAAAATTTTATTGTATTTAATTGATTATAACAATTAAAAATTTATTATAATTTTTATGATTAATAATAAAACATCACTTTAACACAACTTAAGCAATATAAATATTATATTTAATTCAATAACCAAAATCTCTATTACAATTTTTTTTGAAAAGAAAAAAAAAATTAATCACCAACAAATGCCACAAGGCAGGACAATTCTTGTAAAATATAAAAATAATTATTTTGAAAGTGTCTGAGCAATGCAGCAATAGAGAAAGACTAAAAAATACCATAGCCAAAAAGCAACTGCAAATTGTCTCTCATATTTTCTATTATTTATCTTTTGATCAATATATCCAAAACTCTTCCTATTTCCTCATTTCCTCCTTCAAATTTTCTCTCTTCACCTTTTTCTCGACCAAAATTGATCTACCATTTCAAGAAGATTAATGAATTCATCTTACATTCATCCTAAATCCATAATCAATTACACATACCAACACGTTCAAACATTTTTTCAAATATATAATTCATAATCCTCTTCAAAAATAAATTAACTTAAATCTTCATTTTAACTTAATAGTTACGTAAAATAATAGTTGGACACCATTTTATCTAAATGAATATAAAATGTACAAATATGATATTAATATATCATTTTTTTCTAATGTTATTATTAATTCTTTTACATCATAGAATTATTTAACATTTCTTGCAATGTTATTAGATTTAACTAGCCATCTTTTATACCTTGCAGATAATTATATATTTGTATTGCCATGTAAACACACATTGAATCGATTAAATTATAATTGAAGAAATGTTGGAGAGATCACAAATCTTTTCCAACGATCTGACCATTTTCAGAACTATAGAAACCGTTAATGTTGCAGGGATGACATAATGGAAGAAAAGAGTGTTGTGATGGTAGCACAAACTAAGAACAAAAGAAACAAAAAGGGGAAAATAAGATAATATTATTTAATAAACAAATAGTGGGTTAAAAATTGAATAGACATTAGTGATGTTCTGAAAGAAGAAAGTAGAAGTAAATATTTTGACAAAAGTAAAAATCTATTTTGAAAACTTTTTAAGAAACTGAAAACAAGAACAATTATATGTGCATAGTGTTGAAACTGAAAAAACAATTACATGTGCCTAGTGTTGAAACTGAAAACAAGAACAAATGTGCTAACAATTACATGTGCCTAATATAACAAAATTTAAGAAAGTTTCAGTCAATCGCAGTAATTCCATTTCCCTGCAAATATTCATTGCAACTATCAAAGTGTCTGGAATAAAAAAAAATTAACATTAGACCATTCATTGAAAAGAGAAGTAACTTACTTGCAACCAAAGAAACCCTGGCAGCAGATAGCTGACAAGGGCTCATAGGAGCCATTAATACAAGGACTAGGAGCCATTAGTACAAGATGTTTTGAATGATCAATAAGCCTATTTTCTTCTGTGCAGCTTTACCACAGAGCACAAATACTAAACTGGCATTTTCATGCGAAAGTTTCTGAATAACACAATTAATGAATGTTTCCCAACCTGGGTCCAAGTGTGAGTTAGACGTGTTTCTAGAGTGAAACATGTTACCTGCCCCTCCGAGTGTGACTTCGATCCAATCTCCCACTTAGAGGGGCAGTTAACATGTTTCACTCTAGAAACACGTCCAACTCACACTCGGACCTAGGTTGGGAAACATTCATTAAGTGTGTTATTCAGAAACTTTCACATGAAAAGGCCAATTTAGTATTTCTGCTCTGTGGTAAAGCTGCACAGAAAAAAATAGGCTTATTCATCATTCAAAGCATCTTGTACTAATGGCTCCTAGCCCTTCTATTAATGGCTCCTAGGAGCCCTGGTCAACTATCTGCCTGCGAGGGTTTCTTTGGTTGCAAGTGAGTTACTTCTCTTTTCAATGAATGGTTTGCTTATTCTAATGTTAATGGTTTTTTTATTCCAGACACTTTGTTGTTGCAATGAATATTTGCAGGGAAAGGGAATTACTGATATGGTTTGATAGACTTACACAATAAGACTTACTAAATTCTTCGCCCAAAACTTCGATCCAAATGTATCGACTAGTATGTTGCGAAGATTGAATTCTACACAAATTTACAAACAATAGGTTATTTCTAAATACCAAATTATAATAACTTAACTAATCATCCAAGAATACTCAAAGTAAATAACTTGTTTGAAAAATAGAGTAAATAACTATTTTCTACTTACCATTATTAGCATTAACTATGGCTTACATAATGTATAGTCTTCAAATTGACTCTAATATCTTCTATTATTTATCTTTTGATCAATATATCCAAAACTCTTCCTATTTCCTTATTTCCTCCTTCAAAATTTCTCCCTTCATCTTTTTCTCAACCAAAATTGATCTACCATTTCAAAAAGATTCAAAAAGATTAATGAATTCATCTTACATTCATCCTAAATCTATAATCAATTACTCGTACCAACACGATTCAAACATTTTTTCAAATATATAATTCATAATCCTCTTCAAAAATAAATTAAGTTAAATCTTCATTTCACTTTATCACTCAAAAAAACATAAACATAGTCTATAAATTTCTCAAGAGAAAAAATTACCACTTGTTATCTTAGAAATAGTCAGATAAAAAAAAAATAGGATTGATGTGAGAGAAAAAGTTCTATAAAGACCATTAGTTAAAATAATGGTTGGACACCATTTTATCTAAATGAATATAAAATTTACAAAAATATATTAATATATCATATTTTTTAATGTTATTATTAATTCTTTTACATCATAGAATTATTTAACACTTCTTCAAATGTTATTAGATTTAACTAGCAATCTTTTATACCTTGCAGATAATTATATATTTGTATTGCCATGTAAACACACATTGAATTGATTAAATTATAATTGATCTCTCTAAAAAAAATTAAGTTTGAAGTTTTAGATGAACAATTATAATTTGGCCTTGTTATTTTTATTTTATTACTAACATTTAAATCAAAATTAACTTTAGATTACTTTAGCTCTTTGATTTGTTTAGATTGATTTAAGAAATAGATTATATTTAATTCAAAATTTAAATTTTAATTAGTTCATATTTGATTTTTATTCAAATTTAAAATTAATATTAAATTCATCAAATATTTGATATGATAAAATGCAAATAAAAACTTAAATAAATAATAAAATTAGGGGAAAAAACTTAACTCATATCTTTTGATATATAGTTATTAACAAGAAATTTCTTAAAAAATATTAAAGAAATAAATTAGACTCTATACACACAACCAAGTTTTATGTAAAACATTAGCCTTCCTTAGTTTTCATCTTTCTGTTTCGTTAATAATTTGTTAAATTGTATAAATTCATGTAACACTGGTGAGTGTATTCACAATATTTCTATTGGCCACAAAATTTGTAACAATATATCACTACCTAACAAATTTTTTATAGATCATTAGAATAATATTGATCTTTTGAACACATGCAATAAGACTTCATTTCATTTACATGATTGAGCAATATTGTTACAGGAGTAGTTTGCAGTATTAGATTCGATCTTTCTTTGAATAAGATGTACTTGAACACTTTTTTCATTTTCCTGTAATTAAAAACATGAAAATCATTAATTATATAAAATAACTACATGCTTAAATGTATTTTTTTTAACTTTTTCTTTTTACTATTTAGTTTATTCAAAAATACATTTTATAATGTTGAAGAATATATTTTTAAAATTAAAAAAATATTCATTTTTAAAATTGTTGGAATATACTTTTAATATTTACCATCAAGTTTGATGAAATAAATTGCAAGACTCACTAGTAAAATAGTAATAAAAGAAACCATTTGGAGAAGTAGATGTAAGCACTCTTCTTCCTGTTTTGATGTGGCAGTGAGTTCCGTAACTTGATAAAGAATTCTCTCTATCTGTTGAATTAACATAAATCAGTACTTGTAATTGAAATTAAAATAAACATGTGATCGAAAAAATACATTAATTATTTAACGAATATAAAAAATTAAAATATGCAACATTATATAAAATTTTACTGCGAAGAAAATAAGCCAAAAATATTTAAAGGAGGAGGAAAACCTGTGGTTGATATTTCTTAATCAAAGGTTCAATATTCTCCATGACTTCAACAGCTGTGTTGAAAGCTTCAAACAAGGCCTCTATATTTACCTATCAAGAGAATTAAATTATGAGAAATATATATTTAAAAAAAGCTTGCATAAAATAATATTCCACAATTATATAAATCATTACCTTGAGACCATGACTTAAGGGAAGTATGGTAGACAATGTTAACAACTTCTTTGTTAATCTTTCGATTGATTCTTTATTCTTTTTTTCCAGTTTTTTCCATTCATTCAGAAAGGAAAGTTGACCACTCAGAATGCGTTGGAGCTTCATCATATGTCTGACTTTTTGTACTTCAATTCTCTTTTGTATTGTGATCTTTCTTAGCATTAGAGTTTCAAGCCATACAGAAAACAAATTTATCTGAAATTTAATTAAACAAATTAAAAAAAGAGAGTTTTGTAAATATATATTTAATATTTATCACATCATGAATCACAAAAATGTACCTCAGCAGCATTTTTTACCCTAGCCATGGAAACCTCAGCTCTAGCATTAATAAATCTCCATTGCAAAAGTCTGTTATGTAAGATCTTGAACTTATGGTGCATTTCTTCTTGCATGGATGAAACTTTCCTCTGCTTAAAGTAGTTGAAAACTTTAGTAACACTATTACCAACTTTACCACCACCGTTGCCATTGCTTCCCTTTGCTTTAGGCGGTGGTGACTCGGGCCAAATCGGAGAACCGAGGGATTGCCTTCCCGGCGAAAGCGCCCACGCGGAAGGCAATGTGGTTCTCTTTGAAGCTCCATTACGATCGGGGCTAACTCCATATTGTAACAGCTTGCTATTACTCTTCTTCTTATCATTGGATTTTGTGTTCTCTTCGTTGTTTTCAGTTCTTATCTTAGATGTTGATTTCGAACGGTGGCTATTCGTTAGTTTTTCCCCAGAGCTGAACCTCCGCGGGGTTCTCTCCGGGGTTGTAATAGTCGCCAAACTCCCGTTGCTTTGAGAACGTACAAGGCGTGGTGATGGCGGCACTACCGTGAGTTGGCCGCGGCCGGAAAGAGTGCGACTAGCATATTTCTCCATGAATGGTTTAGAGAATATTTCTGAAATGTAGTATACATATACATGAAGTGATGGAGGAGTTAGAGGATTTAGGAGTTGCAAGCACGTTGATTATAGTAATGAATTGGAATAATTGACTTCAGTTCATGCAGAATTTGCAAGCACGTATATGTTGAAGAGTTCAACAAGACATGTATTTTGTTATTCTTTTCAAGTGATTAATGAGTCCCCTGTTGGCGGTAGGTATTAGAATATTAATAGTAATTCATATTTATTTAGTTATACTATTTTCTTAGCCCCTAAGTTTGTTAGAGGGTATTTTAGTATTTTATCTTATTCTAGTAACCCTAGTTTTAGCTTATAAATAGGGTGACAATCATTGTAACTATTATCATGTTTTTGTAGCCGTCATTCTTAATAGAATATTTCCTCTGTTCATCATTTATTCACCTTTGCACCAATAATTGGTATCTAGAGCTCTGGTTCGGATTCATTGGGAAACACGGGAAACACGAGTGAACGTGAGGTCTTGTGTGTTTGATTTTGATTCTTAGATTCGTGTTGAATCTTGAACAAAATCTGATCAGAATTTTAATTCTGTGGGTTGGGAAATACTGTGTGAGAAACACTGAGTGTATTGTGCAAGGTGAAGATGAACGGAAACGGCAACATGAACACCAAGCTTCCAGTATTTGATGGTAAAAACTGGAATCGTTGGATGATCCAAATGCGTGTACTGTTTGGTGCTCAAGATGTTTTAGATCTTGTCACTGATGATTATGTTCCGGTAGCAGCAGATGCAACAGATGAACAGAAAAACGCGCAGAAGGAAGTAAGGAAGAAGGATCAGAAAGCATTATTCTTTATTCATCAATGTGTTGATGTAAATGTGTTTGAGAAGATTGCAGATTCAACGACAGCAAAGGCTGCGTGGGACACACTGGTTAGATGTTATGGTGGTGACGCATCAGTGAAGAAGGTGAAGATTCAGTCCTTGAGAAAGCAATATGAGAATCTCAACATGAAGAATAATGAGAAAGTTTCTAAATACATCTCCAGAGTGATTCTGATCACTAATGAGATGAAGGCGTGTGGAGAAACTCTTTCTGAAGAAACAATCATGGAGAAGGTATTGAGATCCCTTACCTCTCAATTTGATTACATTGTGGTAGCAATAGAACATTCCAAAGATCTGAGTACCATGAGAATTGAAGAGCTGCAGAGCAGTTTAGAAGCGCAAGAGTTGCGTTTGACTGAAAGAACTTCTGAAAGGGAAGTAGAGCAGCAGGCTCTGAAAGCAACTTCTGATAGGAGGTATCAGAAGCAGTCAGAAGCCAGGAGAAGATCTGATGGTGGTCAGAAGTCAGAAAGCTCAACCTCTGATAGACAAAAGAATGCTCAGAAGGGAAAAGAGAAGTATGACAAGAAGAAGATCCAATGTTACTGTTGTAAGAAGTTTGGTCACTTTGCTAGAGATTGTTGGTCAAACAAGGAGAGAAAATTAGAAGAAGCAAATATAGCCAGAAGTTCTGATGACGAATCTGTGCTATTGATGGCCTCTGAATCTGATGATCTGACAGACTGGTGGTATATGGACACTGCCTGTTCAAATCATCTTACTGGAAACAAGAAATGGTTGGTTGACTTTGACTCTGAAAAGAGAACAAAGATCAGATGTGCTGATGACAAATATCTTAATGCAGAAGGTATGGGAAATGTCAAAGTGACTCTGAACAATGGGAAAACAGCATTGATTCAGAACGTGTGGTATGTACCTGGCATCAGAAGCAGTCTGATGAGTGTGGGACAATTAATTGAGAAAGGTTTTTCAGTTACCATGAAGGACAATCTTCTGAAGCTGTATGACTACAATCAGAAGTTGATTATGGAGTCAGAACAGGGAAGGAATAGAACATTCAAGGTGAATGTCAGAACTGCAGACTCAGAATGTCTTAGTGCAACATGTGCTGAGAAGGAGAGTGAGCTGTGGCACAGAAGATTTGGTCATTTGAATTTCAGAAGCCTAAAACATCTGAATTCAAAGAAGCTGGTACATGGAATTCCTGCAATTAAGAAGCCTGAGAAGTCATGTAAAGTTTGCATGGAAGGAAAACAACCACGTTTGCCATTTGCGTCAGAAGTTGCTCCAAGAGCAAAACATGCCTTGGGAGTTGTACATTCTGATGTGTGTGGTCCATTTCCAATAGCATCAATTGGAGGGAATAAATACTTTGTGTTGTTTGTTGATGAATTCACAAGAATGACATGGGTATCCCTTATTAAATTTAAACATGAGGTGTTTGATGAATTCAAGAAGTTCAGAATGAAGGCTGAGAATCAGAGTGGTCAGAAGTTGAAGATTCTTAGAACTGATGGTGGAGGTGAGTATAACTCCAAAGAGTTCCAGAAGTTCTGTGAGGAGAATGGAATTGAGAATGAGGTTACTGCTCCTTATACCCCTCAACACAATGGTCTTGCTGAAAGAAGAAACCGTACTTTGCTTGATATGGTGAGAAGCATGCTAAAGGAGAAGAAGCTTCCTCAGAAGCTCTGGGGAGAAGCTGTTGCCACTACAACGTATGTACTCAACAGATGTCCTACGAAGAAGTTGAAGGAAATAGTTCCTATGCAGAAGTGGACTGGAGACAAGCAAAGTGTTAGTCATCTGAAGGTGTTTGGTTCTGTTTGCTATAAACATGTTCCAGAAGCCAGAAGACAGAAGCTGGATGATAGAAGCAAAGTGATGATTCTGATAGGGTACCACAGTACAGGTGCATACAAGCTCTATTGTCCAGAAACCAATAAAATTGAATTCAGCAGAGATGTGATTGTGAAGGAATCAGAAGTTTGGAATTGGGATAAGTCTCAATCTGATTCTGATGTTAGAACTTCTGAAGAAAGGTCAGAGTTAAGAATTTCTGAAGTTGAAGTAAACTCTGACGTTGATTCTGACTCTGATAGTGATTTTGACTCTGGAGAAGACTCAGAAGATGAAGGTGACTCTGATGATCCAGACTCTGATGGTAATCCAGATTCTGGTGGAAATTCAGACTCTGAAGATGGCCAAGGCTCTGGAGGAAGTCAAGCCTCTGAAGCTAGAAATTCTGAAGTTCAAGACTCTGGAAATATGCCAGATCCTGAAGTTGGTCAAAGCTCTGGAGAAAGTCAATCATCTGAAGCCCAAGACTCTGAACAAGTTCAGAGACCACAAAGAATCAGAAGCGTTCCCAGAAGATTTGCAGAATTTGACATGCTGCAAGACACTGAAGTAGACTCTAAAGGAGAAGTTATTCAGTGTGCCATGTTAGTAGACTCTGAACCCATAAGTACAGAAGAGGCTCTTAAGCAGAAGCTCTGGCTGAAGGCCATGAAAGAAGAACTTGATGCTATAGAGAGAAACAAGACTTGGAAGCTGACAGAACTTCCAAAAGACAAGAAAGCCATCATCGTTAGATGGGTTTTCAAGCAGAAGTTAAAGCCAGATGGCTCAATTGGCAAACATAAAGCAAGGTTGGTAGCCAGAGGATTTCTACAAAAACCTGGGCTGGATTACTCTGAAGTGTTTGCACCTGTAGCAAGACATGAAACAATCAGAATGGTGATTGCAATAGCTGCTAACAGGAATTGGCCTCTGATGCATTTAGATGTAAAATCTGCATTTCTGAACGGTCCATTAGAAGAAGAAGTTTACGTGTCACAACCTCCTGGATTTGTGAAAAAGAATCAGGAAGGGATGGTGTACAGATTATACAAAGCTCTATATGGATTGAAACAAGCGCCCAGAGCTTGGAATCAGAAGATTGATTCATTTTTTAAGAAGCAAGGCTTTCAGAAATGTGAGATGGAGTACGGTGTCTATGTTCAGCATACTTCTGAAGGCAATATGACTCTGGTATGTTTATATGTTGATGATATACTGCTGACTGGAAGTTCTGAACAGGAGGTAGCCAAGTTCAAGAAGGTTCTAATGAATGAATTTGAAATGACTGATCTAGGCAAAATGACATACTTTCTAGGGATGGAGTTCAGATATTCTGAGAAAGGTATCATTTTGCATCAGCTCAAGTATGAATTAGAACTTCTGAAGAGATTTGATCTGAAGAATTGTAAGATGGCTATCGCACCTTCTGATACAAATCAGAAACTGGATTCAGGCTCTGAAGGAAAGGATGTGGACGCTACAACCTTCAAACAGTTGGTTGGTTCTCTGAGGTATCTGTGCAATACCAGACCTGATATTTGCTACTCAGTTGGGATGGTTAGTAGGTTCATGAGTAAACCTAAGTGGTCCAATTACCAAGCTGCTGTCAGGATTCTGAGGTATATCAAAGGAACTCTGAAGTATGGAGTGTTATTTCCCTCTGGAGGAAATGAGTCCGAACTTCTGAGTTATTCAGACTCTGATTGGTGTGGAGACAGAGTTGACAGAAGAAGTACATCTAGGTACTTGTTCAAATTTATGGGAGGTTCCATTTCTTGGTGTTCCAAGAAGCAACCTGTTGTGGCGTTGTCAACCTGTGAAGCTGAATACATTGCAGGTGCTGTTACTGCATGCCAAGCTGTGTGGATTCTGAATCTGTTGCAGGATCTGAAGATTAAAGTAGACAAACCTCTGAAGTTGATGATTGACAATAAGTCTACAATAAATCTTGCCAGAAACCCAGTGTTTCATGGGAGAAGCAAGCATATTAAGACCAAGTATCATTTTCTGAGACATCAAGTTCAGAGTGGAGTGTTAGAAGTTGTACACTTCAGCACTCAGAAGCAGTTGGCAGATGTTCTGACAAAAGCTATCAAGACTGATCAATTTCTCAGACTAAGGGATGGAATTGGTGTTACAAGTTTTGATGGAATATGAGTTAAGGGATGGTATTAGAATATTAATAGTAATTCATATTTATTTAGTTATACTATTTTCTTAGCCCCTAAGTTTGTTAGAGGGTATTTTAGTATTTTATCTTATTCTAGTAACCCTAGTTTTAGCTTATAAATAGGGTGACAATCATTGTAACTATTATCAT